GATTTCCGTATTGCATAGACTCATTGACCATTGACTGATTCAGATTGATAGATTGACATGCATATTGATAGCATCGCCGTGCTTTGATTTCAGTTGTAGGCTTTGGTGACCTGCTGGGCTATTTAAGCTCATTATATGTGGTTGACAATTTCAGGTCCGAGCAAGGCAACTGGAATGGAGTTCGATCAGAATGTCAGACGAATCCTTTCACTATGGATGCCTGGGGCGTCACATATGCACTAGTAGCCTCTTCGGCTCCTTCGTTGCTATTTGACATCACTCCGGCGATGTTTCCTTCTTGTCTGATCGGAAGGCACCTTCAAAGGCATTCAGGGTTTGCTTTTCATCTTCTCTATTTATTCGTTGTCATTCGATTTCATTGCTTGACGTGAGGAGTTGATTTTTTGGCTCCATCATTTATGTTCGACTTCGCTTCAACTTCCTTTGACAACGTTCCTTTCCTGTCTAATCAAAAGTCACGCCATTTTGATTAGATCGTGGGCTCGTGATGCAATAGTAATACGAGACATTCGGCTCTAGAAGATGCGGCTAGAAGCAATTTTCCTTTAGATCCAAAGTATTTACTTTATATTTAACTCACTATATAGTTGAAATCAAACAGCCCCTAAATTAGGATTTTATAAATATTAGGAGGCTAGTTTTTTTTTGTTTTTTGCGTGGTGGGAGGTTGAGGAGGTTGAATTTGGGCAAAGCCCGTATATTAAAAGAAAAAGATGACAAGAATAAACCTAGGAGCTCCACCAAAAAAAGACCTAGCTCAATCAGAGCTAAAAAAAACTACCAAAAACTTCTAAACATGAAGTAGGACAAAAACAAACTAAAAAATAATGAAAAATCAAAACAAAAAAAATTATACGAGCATGGAGGAGCCCCCAGCAAGCCAGAACTCAGTCAAATATTATCCAATTCACATATAGAGATCAAGAGTTAAGAATCCCTGGTTGCCCGAGGGCCGTCCAAGGGAGAGCCAAAGAGGGGGTGAACATTATCGTCGCTGGCTACACCAAAAAATAAACCCCTTAGGCATAGTACGAAGACAACGACATAGTAGAAGGCAACAGTTAAAGCAGGCCCAACATTTCATCTCTATTTTTCCAATTACATACTTTAGCAAATACAACATTCTTAATCTTGAGAGTGAGTGAGGAGATGCAATTCACATTAGCTCCAAAACGCTTATCGTTTCTTTCCTTTCATATATAGTAAATCGAGCAACATGCATATGTAATAAGAAAATATAGCCTTTTTGCATGTATGGATGTGCTCGATGAATTGTTAAATCAATCAAGGAGGTGGGCTACGCTAGGTCTCAACAACAAAGCACCAAATCTTGGGATTAATGTAGCGATAATCGAGTAGGAGTAATTGCATTCAAAAAGTAGATATGGGGTGCTCTCACAATCAGTGTAACATAAGAAGCTGTTCAAAATCAACATGTATTCTTCGCTTGTGCAACACATCAGCAGTTTTCAATCCGCCAACAAGGGCCATCCAGGCATATACAGAAAAACGCATAGCACAATGTCTGTGCCAAATAAGATTTTCCCAAGTGCACGGGACATAGTCCCTATAAAATTCCAAAACACACATTTTAAAAGAGCCCTCATAATTATTTCCTCACCTTAGACAATTAACATTGGATCCCTGAATAGGGATATAATAAAGGTTCGTTTGAAACATCTTTCTTACTGCTTCTTAAAGTAGCTTTTTAGTACAAAAATTTTAATTTTTATTCTAGAAAGTCGCTTTAAGAAGTAATAAGAAAATCGTCCCAAAAGAAGTCTAAGGCTTCGTTTGGGACAGCTTTTTTATTGCTTTCTAAAACGGAGTTTTAGTACAAATTTTTTTAATTTTGTACTAAAACTCCATTTTTGAAAGAAATAAAAAAATCGTCCCAAACGAAGCCTAAATATTAGTAACAACACCAGAGGGGATGAAATATCGGACAAGAGCATTAATAAAACTTGAAGCACTGTCTGGTAAGCCATCTCCATAGCACCAATGATCCTAGAAAAACGATATAGGGGCAGTTTGGGTAATCCTGAATTGGAAGGAAGATTTCACCCTAACAGCAGTATTGCATGCATATTTCCAAAATGAAGTATCATTCAAATTTGATGTCATTTATATTAGATTATTTTATTTTTTTTATGATTTACATACCCATAAAAAAATTATTATGAATTTATATATTTAATATCTAAATGCTTATATTTATTTATATATTAATATACATGAAAGAATGTATTTTGTTGTAAATAACTTAATATTAAAAATATTTTTGATATAATGTAAACTTTTAATTATTATATAAACATATATAAAATTTTAATTATTAAATAAAAAATCATAAAAACTTTTTGGTGTATATTTAAATCCCATTTTATTTTTCACTTCAATACTAAGGACCTGTTTGGATGCGTGTAGGATTTAATTTAAGTAGGATATTATAATGCTTTAAATTCGGATTTATTAAATTTTGATTGGATGTTGTTAGAATTTAATTTAAGTAGGATTTTATAATTATTTAAGGGGTTGTTTAGTTGGAGGAAATATAAATACAAAGTATAGTAATGTTTTGCTTTTTAACTTTTTTTTTTTTTTTTGGTTGGATGGTAAATTCCTATTGTATTTTGAACTCCCTGCTTTACTTCATTTCCCGCGTAAAATAAACATGCTCAAAATTGAGTGAAAAAGGTATTCACAAGCACGAAAGATTAGCCTGCGTGAAGACATCTTCGTTTATTTCTCTTGCGATAGAACTATTATCGAACACATCTTTGTTTCTTTCTCCTACTTGGCATGAGGTAGGGTTATGCACTAGTAGCCTCTTCGGCTCCTTCATTCCTATTCGGTATATCTTTGATAACGTTTCTTCTAATCAGATCGGAAGGCACGACATCTTCAGAGGCATTTAGGGTTTACTTTCATCTTATCTATTTCTTCGTTGTCATTTGACTTCATTGCTTGGCATGAGGAATCCATTTTTCGGTTCCATCGTTTCTGTTCACCTTCGCAGCAACTTCCTTTAACAACGTTTCTTTCCTGTCCTATCAAAAATGGGTTGGTGATGGAATAGTAATACGGGATATTCGGCTCGAGAAAATGCGACTCAAAATAATTTTCTTGTAGATTCAAAGTATTTACTTTACGCTATATTTATTTTATATTTTATTCACTTTATAATCAAATTAGACAGCCCCTAAATCAGGATTTAATAAATATTAAGAGGTTAGGCTTCGTTTGAAATGTCTTTTTTACTGATTCTTTAAGATTTTTAGTACTTAAATCTACTTTAACACTAAAAGCTGCTTTAAGAGTACCAAAACCTCACTAAACGAAGCTTAAATCTTAAGAAGTGTTAGATCCTCTTCGGTTTCTTCGTTGCCGTTCGCGTGAGGTTGAGGGTAGAGCTTCCGCTTCCCTGCGTGGGGTAGATCTTCGAACTCGCTTGCCATTTCCTGTCTAGGGTTTGTATTTCCTCTTCTGCTTCGCGTGAAGTAGAGTACTGAAAGAATCGAAACTTCCTTCCCTCTGACGTTGTTCCTGTCGGATCGGAAGACGCGCCGGGAGCTCTCCGCAAAGGTAATGACATTTCTCCCCTTTCGTGCGCTTCTTTGGTCGGATTTAGGAAATTCGCAAATAAAGTCTGATTTACGAAATCCGGTATTTAGGGCAAAAATGGCGAAAATTACGTGAAGTAGAGATTAGACTTACCGTGAGATTTAACTGTGTATTTTTTAGGCGTTTGGCAGGATTTCGCTCAAATATTGCCTAATCTGGTATAAATCCTGCATCCAAACAGGCCCTAATTTTGTCCTCCACTCGGCCAAGATTCTTCACTACTGCCGAGAGAGAGAGACCGAGCGAGAGGGGAGAGAAAAAACCTTGGAATATGCAAAGCTAGTTTGCTCGCGCCTTCTCCTATCAATAAATTTCCGAGGAAGAGGGACTAATTATTTTCAAGCGCGCTGCTCCGAGCCCCAGGTGCGAAACTTCACTGCCTTCCCTTTTTCTTTCGTTTTAGGATCTGTTTCCGTTATGGATCGTGTGATCCTCGACGGTCCCTGTATCTGCCCACGCACATGATTTCACTTCTATCTTCCTCTCTGAAGATTATGACTAGAAACAATAGTTTTTTTTTTGGTTTGAGATATGTAGCAATCTGATGGAGTTACTGATCTGGAAGGCAAACTTTGATTTTTTTTTTTCAAGAGATGGGCTACATCGGGCACCATGGGATCGCGGCACTACACAAGTATAAGTATAGCGGCGTGGACAATTCACTTGTTGCGAAGTATATCTTGCAACCCTTTTGGAGTCGATTTGTCAATATATTTCCTCTTTGGGTCCCGTAAGTGCTCTGTGCTTAATGATTTTTTTTTATTAGAAAAATGTTTGTTTCTCTTGGTCTTCCATGTACATAGAAATTCCCCTGTGTAAGTGCTATTTCTGTTTTTTTTTCCCTAAGCTCTATATATTGACTATAACGGCACATATACACATACTTTAAAGTAGATGTACAGACTAATTATAGTAGTCTTCTCATTCTTTCTTGTACGCGTCTTCAAATTTGAAATAATATCTAAAAGAGTAGTGGTGAATACCAAATTACTGAAACTTAATAAAAAAAACAATATCTATTGGCGCGGAAGAGTTCTTTGGTAGCTGCAGTGTATGAAGACTCTGACCTTGATCTTCAAACACTTGGAAGTTAGTGAATAACGGGACTTAGATGCCACTTGGACTCTTATAGGTGAGTTCTACTGCAGCCAAGCCATTTAAGCTTCAGAGTTCTGAACTACAGTGCATGAGCCGCAACAACTACATTGATTTATGAATTCTTCTTTCTTAGGATTGTAAGTTAGTTTATTTTTGAATTGATGTGTATTTAGACCATTTAACTCAAGTTGAAACTTTGCACATCTGAAACATGAATAACGTTTTGCTGAGATGACTTGGAATGCTGTTGGAAATATTAAAAAAATCCTATAAAAACCTCGCCATTGCTTTTTCCATTTTTCATTCTCGTAGTCCTGCACTAGTCAGGTTTATGGATAAATCCTATATGTTGATTGATGTACAATGGCTGAAAAAAAATCTATATGTTAAAAAAACCCTATATGCCAGCATTGGATATTGTTTATCGAGAAGATTATGATTTATGTATTATTCCATTTGGTTTTAATATCAATTTTTATTGTTTTCAAGTGTTTGGAAAAACACCTAAACTTTACTTAGAAGCGCCTATCATGGGCGAATATGATGAAAACATGGAGTAATAGACATGAAGACACCTAAGTGTATGCGATTTGGCTAAAATAAGCCTACATACACATGAGTAGAGAGAGAATTCTATTATGATAGGAAAGCCACACATGTATAGATCAAAAGGACCATAATAAAGCACTATCCTCAAACCAAGTACGCCCAATCTCTATAGAAAAGTGAATCCTAAAATCTCTCAAGCCAACAAAACATTGAATAACTCAAAAGAGATAATGAATAAATAGGATTTAACTAATACTAGAAACTAACCAGTTAATAGTTTGTCTATAGTATACCCTCTTGCATTACGGAATGGATGCAAAAGATTGGCTAAATCTCTCAATCTCTGTCTCACTCTCTCTCTATCCCTCTTCTTTATTGAATTTATAACTCCCTATTTTGTTTTCCTATCCCAGCCAATTTTGTCAGAACAACCTGCAAGCATGCCTCGTGGCCAAAGTCATATAAACCCATAGATATGCTAGCCTCATCATCAATATATTTTTATAGGAGTTTTAAAGGAGTTGATTTCAAGAATAAGCCATGTTTAAAATTTTACTTAGACTTATCCAAAATAATAAACTTGTGGCTAATATTCAAATCTGATTTTATTCATGCAATTAAATAGATAATCTATTTTTATCCTAAACAAACTTTTTTTTTATCATCCTAACTAATCGTTGAGCCAACATCTTAATAGTACATTGTGAATGTCATATGCATAATGCATTTTATGATAATCTCAGTTTTGTTTAATTTCAAAATTTGTAGCTCCTCAAGGGATATGTATTATGTTATTTATCGTTTAATGTATTATGTTATTTATCGTTTAATGTGATGGAAAATACACTATTATTATTTTCTTGTTTTATTTTTAAACATTTGCCTCATATATTACAAGTATCTGATTTACCTTTTTGTGCTTTTGGTTTTGCTGCGCATATGGGCTCCAGACCAAACATGGTAAGAACAACTCATTCTGCTTATCATTTTGCTGTTCCAAGTATTTTTTTTGCTACATTTTTTATTGACCAATATATGGTATCATAATTTTTTTGCAGATCACACTTACAGGTTTTGTGTTTGTACTCTTGTCAGCACTTCTTGGCTATGTAAGTGCAACTGTTATGATGGACATATTTGCTAAGGCATTCTTAGTAGTTAGTAGTACTTATAGAGGAGCAAAAGTGTTGTTGATGATCATGGCCACTCTTGATTCCACTGTCCACACGCCATTTGGTAGATAAAAAATGGGCTGTTACTGCAGTACAAAACCCTTGTTGACTCCAATAGGTCGTAGTTTCCGCCCCCCTGCTCTGATACCATGAGAGTTTGATGAAGGGAAAACACAATTCCATAAATCTTATTTAATAAACAGCAGTGCCCATATTGATAGGTTACCTGATATCCTTCATACTTAATCTGCTCATAAACTTCTAAAGAAAATAAAATTCCAATTTCAAGTGTAAACAGTTAAGATCTCCTAGTTAATGGTGACAGCTTTTCCTCAAATTTCTTCTAGGAAAACTTGTCTCCAACCTGTGAATATCCTTCTTTTTACTCCTCCAGCTGGTCCGTAATAGATTCCTTCCATTTTTGCTTTAGTAAAACTGGCACCTACACGATTTTCGTTAATTCTTTCCCGTTTACACAATATTTTGTGGTGCATGCTGCTTGGTTTCTATTGGAGCTTATGTTATTGGAGCAGGTTTATACTTCTTTTGCATTGAAAGTTGTTCTGTTATTCTTGCTGTATTTCGGATGCACTGGTTTTTGCATATTAGTCGTTACTTATTTTAATTAATAATGTAGTTCTAGTCCTGCCCTTGTGCTAGATGTTTTATACACAAGGTTTTAAATTAGCTTCTGTTATCTTGTTCATTATGTGAGTTTCCCACCTTCATGTAGGTGAAGTGGAGATGTAGGCTATGCATATTATTGTTGTTTAACAAGAATCATTATTCTTGCAGATATATTCTCCACATTTAGATACGGCACCTCCTCGTTGGGTTCACTTTGCTCATGGGATGCTCCTTTTCTTATACCAGGTTTGTTCAAGTTTAATAAATGTTTATGGTAAGCAAATTACTTTTTGTACTTGACATGCTTCTTCTTGCCTTAAAATATTTATTCTTGGGGATGCTTGATTATTACTTTATATATGAGGATGTCTGGTGAATACCATAACCATGCCGCTTTATCATATTGATCGGTCCTTTGAGTAATTTTAGAAGATATTGCAGAGTTGTGTATTTATGAGAATGCATGCATAGTTTTCTATTCTTAGTGGCATCTCATGAAACAAAATATACTTGAAAATAACATATATTTTAGATATACTTTTCTGAATGGTGATTAACCAAATAAAATTTGAGGCCTTGATACAAGCTAACCTTACTTTGATAGATTAAGTAAATTATGTGCACTTAAAGCTGTTGTTCAGTGCATGCTGCTCAGGCTGATATATAATTTGTCTTATTTTATTTTGTTATATCATGTTACTAATGATCATTTGCTTAGGGAGAGCGTGGTGTTATTTGATAACTACCCGATGCTTACATTATATTGTTGTAGAAGTTAGCGGTTGCATGATTTTGATGCTAGGTCTAGGCATGTTAAAGCATTTCATTACTCGAGGTACTTATTTTTAGGCCTATGATGCACTGACACTTGTCATCAAAGAGATGTGCAGTGTTTGACATGTATCCGACACGAAACGCACCCGACGCGCCTTCGACACGTGCTGCAACAACAACAACAACAACAACATCAAGCCTTTATCCCACTACGTGGGGTCGGCTACATGAATCCTTTTTCTCCATTGTGTCCTATTAAAAGTCAAATTCTCGTTTAAATCTAATAAAGAAAGGTCATTCCTAATATTTTCTAACCAAGTCTTTTTAGGTCTACCCCTACCTTTCTTTACATAAGTCAAATCTAATACCTCTACTCTCCTAATTGGGTCATCGCAAGGCCGCTGTTTTATGTGACCAAAAATGTGCCTTCGACACATGCTGGATATATCGAAAATGTGTCTGATTAAAACATATTAAATATAAATTGGACACGCATGTCCGACATCTGTGTTTTAAATACTTTATGAAAAATTTCAAACATGATTTCTTGTATTTAAAAATTTTATTTATTTAAAATATAAAAACTAAATTTTTATCTCCTATTCATGTTACCAAATCAATCGCCCGCACTCAATACCCATTCATCGAATATTCTCATTTTCATTTCTCTTTAGCAGGTTGCGACTTTGATTTCACAATAATGACGTATGTCATCGGTCATCTTAACATTGATGTCTGACGTCGTTACAATATTGATATTTCAAAACCATCTCAATATCATTGATGCTCGATGCTATCAATTTCTATACCGACAACTTGACAGCTCATTTTTGTCCGAAGTCATCATAACATCGACGATCATCACCCTTTCAACATCGACGATAGACGATCTCTTGACATTGATGTCCGATACTTATTGCATAACATCAATGTCCGACTCTCGACAACATTGTCGTTTCCTCTCTCAATGCTTGATACACAACATCGACACCCAATTTTTGACATATTAATATTAATTATTTTAATCATAAATTCTAGTTAAATGAGTTATTATTTTTAAAGTATTTTTAATATTATATCTATTCAATTTTTATACGCTATTTTTAAAATATAAAAATTATAATATCGTGTCCAACCCGTGTCCGTGCCCTATATTTTTAATTATTAATGTGTCCTGTGTCATGTCGTATCCATGTCGCCGTGTCCATGTCTGTGCATCATAGTTGAAAACCTAATTATTTGATATTTTAGACTACAATATTTATGTACCAATCATTATTTAAACTGCTATAGGTATGAGAAGTACATGAAAAGTTACCAATACCATTTTGGTTCTTTATTTTGGACTACAATTTTCCTAAATTTTATTATTGGTAGTGGTATTAGGATTTTCTTATAATTTATATGGGAGTTTTTAAGTATATTATATTATGTATAGCATATGGTTTGTTATAAAATTGTTATCGTTTGTTTTGTTGTTTTGTAAATTTATGCATTCGGTGCATGGGGCCATTCCTAGTTATTTTCATAGAACGATTCTGGTCAAGAAAGTAACTTTGTCAGTTTTGCATGTGAGCAAAACTTTTGTGGTAAATTAATAGAATATGGCCAGCGAGAAATGCTGTCAAATTTAGTCATTGGAACAGACTTTGATTAAAATTAATATAATCAATCCTTCATAACCTGAAGCCTTGTTCATCCTCATACTAAACTAGGCGCAGGGCTGATTTTCGTGTTGTCATGCTGCAGTCCAGACAAAATTTACTAAACTGGGAAGTGGGAACAGGGCTGATCTTCATTTTTTCATCCTGCCGTCCAAATAAAATTTGCCATAATCCAGCCAAATCTGACATGATTTAACCTTTGGGAATTGTCTAAGCCTACTGAAAGTAATCCCTCCCTTAACAAACTAGGCCTTTTGGAATATCTCCTTTTTTAAATTTCAAATCCTTATTACGATCTGTTATCTTCTTTTCTGCTGTTTCATCTTCCTCTGTTTTGATCTGGTTAGTATAATGTCTTTTTGTTTGTTGTGAGATTTTTAGCTTACCAAAGAGTATTTATGGGAAATTGGAACTTTTATTGAACATATTGTGTAATGAATTCTTCTGGTTTTACGTCCATGCAGTTCCCCAAATCAAGCATATCAAGCTTTTTTGGGTCAACGTTTTTCAACTGATATGAAAGGGAAAAACTGTCTTTTTCCGTTTTAGTGAAATACTAAAAGCTTCTGAAATATTTTAATGAAAATATTGATCTATATCTTAAACCCCCCCACTCCCCGCACGAAAGGGGGAAACTGTTCTCTATTATTTTTTTTCTTTTTTCTTTAATAATGCATTTGCAGGGAAAGATATTAGTTAACCTTCCTTACATTTTGGTTTTTGGGAATGATCCAATTGGTTACATAAAACTGATTCTCTCTTTTTTTTGTCCAGACGTTTGATGCTGTTGATGGTAAACAAGCAAGGCGCACAAACTCCTCAAGTCCATTAGGGGAACTTTTCGATCATGGTGGTTCACTTTACTACTTTTTTTGTCTTTCTGTTTAATATTGTGTTTTTCCTGATGTGTACTTGTAATTGCAGGATGTGACGCTCTTGCTTGTGCAGTATGTATCTTTTCTTCTACCAAATGTATATATGCTTCTAAATTGATGCTATTGCACATATTAATCTCTTTACTTTTTCAGTTTGAAACATTAGCTTTTGGAAGTACTTCCATGTGTGGAAGGACAACATTCTGGTTCTGGATAATTGCAGCTATCCCATTTTATTGTGCGACATGGGAGCAGTAAGTTATTTTTGCAGTTTTATGACCATTTGATTAAAGTCTGGTACTGCTCATGGCAAATTAGAGTTTATTTAGTTAGATGGTATCCTTATTGATTTTTTATCGATGTTTGTAGTTGTTGCTATTCATTTCCTTGCTAACTTTAGTTTGTTAGGAGGCATCACTGTAATTGCTTCAATGCATCCCTCCTAGTTGAGACCATCAAAGGGATCTAAAGTTAATTTTACAGTGATCAATCTTGCTTTGTAGTCACCGGTTGTGTGTGCATTATATGGTTGTATTTGGATGTTTGGGATGCAATAGGTTAGAATATCCAAGATGTTACTCATTTGATAGGGCTGAATGTTGACTAGCATATTTAGTCTTGCCTGGCGGGAAATGCTGCGAACACAATTGACATCTAAGATTTTACAGAACGTCGGAGCCATGATAATTAACCTTGGTAATTGCTGCACTGTACTGGTTTGCTGAAACTGCTCAAGGATTTGAGCCTTTTGCTAGTTTTTTTTATTAGAATTTTTAACCGTCCTTTTTTTATAACTCTTAGAGTGATAAAATGTGTTATTTTTAGTTTACATTTGTGCATAGGGTGACAAGGTACAAAACTTTTCATTTGTACAGTAATCTAAAATTCTTCGTTGCTATGTAATATGTATTTAGCCTTACTTTTTCTAATCAATTTTGTAAAAGTTTATTTTTCCAGCTTCAATATTTTCTTGCTCAGAGTTGCTTCGTGCTTATCTTGACCCATTTTTGTTTTTAATCCAGCTTTTTTACCAATACCCTTATTCTACCTGTGGTTAATGGACCAACAGAAGGTCTTATGCTGATCTATTTATGCCATTTTCTTACATTTTTTATGGGTGAGTAATACCTATAGAGTCTTTAAGATTTTTGCCCACTTAGGTGTTTGAGACTTGGCTAAACTGCCTTTGATGGTTGCAGGTGCTGAATGGTGGGCACAAGACTTTAGGAAATCAATCCCCCTTTTGAGCTGGGTACCATTTCTGCCTGGTAAGTCACATAATGCAGTATTGTAGCACTCGTACAAACCTTAAATTTAATTCAAAGATGGATATTTGGCTTCATGGTGATGTCAAGTGTTTTAATATAATGCTTTTTGACCCAAAAATTATAATTTCAAGCCTGTCATGTGCCTCGACTTCTGTGTAGTGCATTAGCTACTGGTTATAGCACTTGAAAGGTGTATGCTATCACGTGAGTGTGGAAGGATTACAAATGAATGCTTTGTTTCAGTGAAATTATGCATTGAAAATTTTCCTCTGCTTGAGGTGCTGCTGCTAATCCCAAGTGCATCGCTAGCAGTAGAAAATAAGATAGCTAGAAGAACATACAAACCTCAACTTCATGCACGTTAGTTCCATCATGATGGCCACCATAAAGCAATAGCAGATGATGTCATGCCATGAGACAGTATTTGGCCTAAAATACTTTGGTTAACTACATTTGTTTATGCATGGTTTGCCTTCTTAAGCTGCATTTTGATGATTTGTTTGCTCCCATCCATTTAAACTTTCCATGAATTGGAGCACATCGTTACTTAGGATATTCATTTTTAGTATCTTCTCGATTTTTCCTAAGTCAATATTTCTTCTCACCAAATAATTGAGTCGTGCATGGTGCAGTCATAATTTTTAAGCCATTAATTGCCTTATTTAGTAGCTTCATGCAGACTTGACAATGCAAAATGCAGAAAATTGATGGGCCGTGCAAATACTAAGTTCGCGGAACATCTTTCTTTGAGTTTTTAGTTCAATTTTTTTCCATGTTCAGCCCTACAGTGTAACATTTGTTTGTTTGTATGTTTAAGGTTGGGATTGATAATGCCATATTACTAGAACTTTGTTTTATTAAATGGTAATCTTACAAAAGGTGGACAAAGATAATACTCAGTATTTTAGCAGGTAATGTATAAAATATTTTCTATGTCAAATCTTTGTGATATACAAATACTTTGTCCGCAAGATTCTCTCCCTTAGTGCGGTCTATTGCATATGTGCAGCTGGCTACTCTTGATCATTGTAGGTGTCGTGCTTGTCGCAACTTTGTTCCTCCCGGTAGTCGCTTTCTGGAGCGCTAGTCATTAGCTTTCTCGACCCCACACTCTACGGAACTCTCGCTCACCCAAAGTTGTAGGGTGCCTCTTGCTCATAAATTTGTTTGCAATGTCCTCTGATTGCACATGCCCGACCCTCCTCGTGTGTTGTGCTATCTTGATCTCCCTAGACCGCATTGTTGATCTTGCATTCCCTCTTGATGGCTTCCATTTGGTCGTCAATGCGTCTTGGCATCAATGTTCTATGTTTGCCTTCCAGGCACATTACCTTCTTTGTAGACATTGCCCCCAACTTTTGTGCTTGTTAATTATTCGTGATGCAACCTAAGTTCTTAAACCAAGTAGGAGAATACTAGGAATGCAAATTAAGATGCACTGGAGAGAAGATTGACCCAGTGGTCCATTACTTGAGCTAAATGGGTCGGGTAGATTGCACTTCATATCCACATTGGCTTAAAGTTCACTGTTTTTAATCTTTCTAGAGTGGAATTACAATTTTTTATTGTTTTTCTTTGGATGAATACTATATTGTCAATCAAATATAATTTCCTTCAGATTTTATATCATTTCACCTTTCATTTTTTAATGATGCTCACCCTTTTGTGTTCGTCTTATGGTTTTCTATTATTTTTAATAATGTTTTTTTTGGTTAAGTAGAGATTTATTATTTTATTTTGTTGACCAGAGATTCCTTTCTATGGCGTTGTGCTGTTTTTGATGATCATTTTTGCTGTAATTCCGACTGTTGGATCAAAGTAAGTGTATTTTAAACCATACTTTCAAGCAACTTGGCAGAGTAATCTGTATAGTGTTGTTGTCACATCGTTTGTGATTTTTTTTAAATTTATCTTGCTATATGCTTATATTCTCCTTTATCAATTTTATTTATGCCATTTGACCTGTTGTGTTCATCTGACTACAAATTCAACGGCAATGGATTTTACCAATAGCTTTTCCTGTTAAACATTGAAATACCGGGATTGTATTTTTGCATGGTAGTTGATGCATATTGTTTAATTGGGATTTCCTCAAAGAATCTAGAGTTTGGCATTTGTTGGCACTCCTTTATTCTTGTAATTTTGTTGAAATTGTCTTGAAGTAACTTTTGTCATTCTCTACACGTCACTAAGAACATTGGAAGCTCTAAAATTAAAATAAAAAAAAAAAAGATCAAAGAAAGTGAGATTCCTGTTGACATGGTTTGTGTCTTTCTTTCATGCTTTTGTTTCCTGTTACAACAGCTTGGATTTTAAAGTAACTCATTGATTTGAAGAAATTGAGTGAAGTGTCGTTTCATGAATTTACATAGTTATGCAACTGGTTATCAGGGTTCTTTTGTTGTTATGAGGGATTCAAGCTTCAAATGATGTAACAATGATTCCCCTCTCAACACTGAGGTTAAGGCCAAGACCCCAAATTCTTTTCATATAGTCTATCTCCATCATTAATTAGCATGTATGAATGAATGACGAAACGATAAATCTATCAAATAAAACACGAGTTATGTCTGTGAACAAGTGCATTGATAATAACATGCACATATTTATAAATAAATTAACCCATATGTTTAAAGATTAATCAGAAGCTACTCCGAATGTCATGCCAGGGGTCAATCAATCAGTCAGTGATGGTGGCAGCCAGTGGCGGAGCAAGAAAATTTATTTAGGGAGCCTAAATTAAAATAGTTCATATGGAATGTTAGAATACATTAAAATATTTCCGTTTTTCGTCTCATTGCCAGAGCCAAGAGGAGCTGTAAGATCAAAATTTATAATGCAAATAACATGATCCTTAGAGCTTATAAGAAATAAATATTTGCCACGGACGGTCTTCATTTGGGGGCGAGAGAGGAGCGAAAGGGAAAACGAATGCCCTGCTCGAGGTCGTGAGTCTCGAGTCACGAGAGAGGAGCAAAGGGGAAATTAAAGCAGACCGATTAATGCAAATGAGCTGCGTTATTATAGACTTCCTAGTAAGACTTTTTGAAAGACATGAATAAAAAATCTGAAATAATCAAAAGGCTATGCCGATTAATGCTAATAATATGTTTTACACAAAAAGTAGTTAGAACTCAGTAAAGTTGATCAGTCGGAAGAGTTATATAAAGAGGGATTAAGCAAAAATAAAAACTATTTGAATTAAACAGAACTTTGTTCTCAACAACACAAATTCAGTTTGGAACGCTTATGTACACACTTATATAACACAATAGGCTAACAATAGGCAAACCAAAGCCAATGCATGAAAGAGGATAAAATAAAATAAAAAACATGCCTCCCCCCCCCCCCAAAATAAAAAAACACCCAATTGTGGCAGGCCCAGGTACTCGTTCCGTATGGTACATAGTACACATTCCCAATTGTGCTCTTTAGACTTGTTCTTCTTTCTGTCATGATCGAAACATGCCCTTAAAAATATTTTTTGGGGACCAGTATCATTGCATCCGGTGGCTTGCTAATTTCCAAAAGGAATCACCTATTATTACATAACATCCATAACATCCATAACATCAATCTTATAAAAGTCATACATCCCCATAACCCTGTAACCTTAATCTGCATGAACCCTACTTGCTAACAGATACAAGGGGGAACTTGATGTTACTATGAGGTCTTTAAGATATCTATTGAGTTGATCCCTCAACCAATGCCCATCGATAGAGTGGTGCTCAGCCACCAAAGTAAAACTTACTGCATGGATAGAAAAAAAGATATGTATAATAATTGTCATGGAGAATCAACATACCTCATCTTGACAAGGTTACTTCTTGTCATCTTCATCATGCTTAAAACTGACACACTTTCAATACATGTATGATCTTCTCAAATATTAATAGTTATACAAGCTATGTTCAATAGGACCGTAAATGCATAAATATATTATGTACAAACAATTTGTTATACAATTGTCATATCCAAGACACTAACAGATGATTGAATGTCACTTGAATCTTCAAAATCCTAGAGATCTTATGAATGCTAAACTACAATTCTATACACGTTTAATCATGGCAATGGGGAAAGATCTCCGACCGAATAATAGCTACCTCAAAATTGTTGAATAACTCTCTCTAATCTCATTCTTTTCATGCTCTTATATGCTCTCCAAAAGGCTCCATTTTAAAATCTCAAACCCTAGGCAACCTCCAAAGTAAATTCAAAATTCTAGTGTTTCTATATGCCAATTTATATATAAAGAATCAATAAATTAAACGTACAAATTAAATAATTAAATAACTATTATATACTAATCCACAAAGCGAGGATATAATACTTAGAAGAAAGTAAGGCCATATCTTTCATTGTTAGAAATGATTCAAAGGATTCTTGTTAAGCACACGCACCATTAAATTCAGCCCTTCATAGGAATAGGTGGACTATGAGTATTTATAAAAGTAACACCATTTTATTAAATTTATTCTCATGATGATGTGATAAAATGTCTTATTTCCATGCATTAGTATATAGGATGGGTGAGAGTTTTTTTAAGTTTAATTATTATACGAGAATGAATGATATTGTGAAATTTGATATTGTAGTAGAATGATCTGTCTTATCAATTTTCATTTATGAATTATACTTGATACTTTATGACATAATTTTTTCAAGAATTTGAAAAAAGCCTTGTACCTTTAATCTTTTTTTTTTTTTTTTTCTTAAGATCATGCCCAATATATTTTTTTTTTTTTTTTTTTTTATCTTAAGATCATGCCCAATATATACTCTTAATTTTTATTCATTATCATCAATGTTATGTCAGATTAGCTTTAGGTGTTGATCTCCATATGTGTCCCACATTCCACCCAATTTTATATAACGGCTATGACGACCAACGGACACAACATTTCATGAAAGTTGGTTCAAAATGTCTTAACCTCAGCCAAAGTCATCCAATCATCAATTTTTCACAAAACAGATTGTGTTAATACATCCAGAGTATCAAAGTTCCCCGGAATGGACTCCTATATTGTTCGGGTTGCACGAGAAAAAATTTAAAGAATTTAGCTGCGCGTGAGGTTACGATGCGAAATCAACACATTCAATGTCCAAAAACTTATGAGAGAGACTTAAAACGTATATTATTATTATTTTAAAAGAATTTACAAAATTTTTCATTAAACTCGTTGCACTTACAAATACCCTAAATCCTATTGATGCCATCAATTGGATCCCCCATATCCCTCCTACTTGAGTACCTATACCCGCACCTCTTTCGTCCTTGCAAATCTCCAACACAATGCTTCCTCCATGTCACTTACTCTCTCATTACTGCTCTCTCTCATAACACTTCATTTGTCACTTTTGCAAACTCCCAACTTCACATGCAAACCTCCCATTCAAGAAGGTAACGTACAACTCTCTCCTCTCAAATCCATATGATACCCCTCTCTTGCACGAGACTGCATCCCTCTCAGCCTTCTCAATTTTCGCTCCAACTCAAGTTCTCAAAAACCTTGATTTAAAAGGAAGTTATAGTTGGAGCTCACAGTAGAACACATTGTAGGGCTAGTAGCTTGTAAAAGATATAATGAAGCTACACCAAGTGTTCGGTGGAAGAAGACTTAGACAACACCGATTTCCTGTGATGAAGATTTTGATGGGACTAATAGCTTTTGAAGAAGAAAATGATAGGAAGTGGATGTAATTTCAACAAAACCAGAGAACGGCACAAGAAATTTAGGAAGAACACATAAGAACCCTTTTTTTTATTAAAAAAACTAAGAAGAAAAATACAAGATATAATTGGATCTTCAATTGGAGAGGAAGATCCGGCTTTACCAAATCTCTAGCCGCCGGCTAGAGCCCAAACACCATAAGAACAATCTATTTTCAGCAAACTCCAAACATAATCTAAAATCACCTCATAGTTAGCCTTAAATAGGCTCCCATAATTCCCTCCCAAATCAGCCCCCTTTCCTTATATAAATACCTCTCAGATTTTAATTTAAATTAATTCTCTTGCTCTAAATAATTTCATCCCAAATGTAATTAAAATTTTTCGTAAACAATTCCCCTTTGATTAAGAACCTTCCTAAATAGTTCTCTTTTAATTAGGAAACTTCCTAATTCCCTCTCAATCAAATCGAACTGTCTATCAATACTCCTCTCCCAAAGTGCCACATTGTCCTCAAGGTGGAACGAAGGAAGCTGCTGTTGAAGCACTTGACTAATAGCACTAGAATGAAAAATGGACTGTCACTTAGATCGAGTGATTCCTGCCTCCTGCATCTCCTTGGTCAATCTCTCCATCTCATCCTCCTGAAGTTGGGGTGAATGGTACAAACGAACACTGATATGTGAGACTCCGTCCTTCCAAAAGATAGCATGTTTGTGTTCCCGCGGAGGAAGAAACTCATGAATTGGTTGGAACACTTCTCAATATTCCTGTAAGAGTGGCTAAACCATATCTGGTGCTTCTATCTTCTTCCCATCTTCTTTTTCTTCCAAACTCTGCAGTTCCATCAAAAATATTATTCCTTCACCATTTCCCCTCCTTGGAAGTGATTCCAATGATGACATCTCCTCTTCTTCCCCAAAAATTTTCTCATCCTGATTCTCCCTCATTATCCTTATATTAGGGTTTCTCCCATTTTTTTGTCCGGTCAACGATGCTCTAACCTCCGATGTTGTTGGTTTGGTTTGACTCTCAAGAAGCTTCTTTATCATCTCCTCCATGGTGACAAATTTCTCGTTGATCTTCTCATGGATGGCTGAAAATAGCTTTTTGAAATATGAAATCTTTACAAAATCAGATTTCAATTGTCTGATCTTCCCTTCCGACATTTCTCCCTTTCTTCCCGTCATAGGTACCTGGAACATGCTCTGATACCAATTTGATAGGACGTGGATGTAATAACCAACTTCCACATTGTCATCCTCATTTCTAATAAACTTATATGCGAACAATATTGATTAATTATTATCAATTAACACCCACAAAAGCTGCATATGATATGCTTGATTTTTATTTTACTATTCTTGAGTCTCTTTTTTTCAAAAAAAATATTATTCTATTGATCTTTAACATATTTAACAAGTTTTACATAATTGAATGTAATTTGCAGTTAACATACTCCAAAGTACCACATTTGGAATATTCTTTGTTAGCATCTATATGACCTATACTTTATATAATACAAAATATGGAATTAATTTTGAATCTTGATATAATCCTATTATTGGATATACTTTTAATATTAGTTACTACTTCATTATGCATATCTTTAATAATTTTAGGTTGCCTTTGGTATATATATATATATATATATTCATAATACTAATCAAATCCAATGCCTTGGTACTCAATTAAATGTCTTATCATGATCAATGAAAACCATATGAAGATCTTTATTTATGTATTTGTTTTTTTCATTAATTGCCTTGGTACAATAATTGCCTTCATAGTGGCTCTTGACATGAAATCAAATTATTTTTTGAAATTGAAGTGATTTTTGTAAGCATGTGTTCCATTACTTATTCCATAACTTCATTCTTCAACTCATAAATTATATTCTCAATTCTTGTTCAATTATGTGGCATCCTTCTAGTCTTTAATATTCCATTGATAAGATTGTTGCCCAAAATACTTCAAAATCATTCACAACTCTCTTAATCTCATAGTTATCTCATATGAACTTAAAGTTTTATTGATTTGCATCTTCTAATCTAAATGGACTTCAATTTCTTTTTAGATCAACCTATATAATATACTCTATGATTGTGTTCATCATGCTTTTCTAAAAAGATCACTTCCTTAGAAGTTTTATCTAATAGTTTATCAAAATAGGATTTCTTCTGTCTTTGGCGTTTCATATTTAAATAAGATTCTTTGTATCTATCTACCTATTAGTAATCCCTTGATTTATAGTTAATATAAAGTTTTGTGTCATTGAAAGGCTATCCTAGTTACAATGCTGGTTTGAACATGCATGAGTTTGTTGATAAAAATAAAATAAGGCTTATGCAAATATGTAAATTTGCTGGTGCTATATTTTTAATATGAAAAATGGTTAAAGTACTTCTATTGTAGCTATATAAAAATCTGTTCAAGTGTATTAACTAATTTCTCATTAGGTAATGCTCATTTAAATCCTAAATAGTGGTGCTTTACAAAGTTATGTTGTTGATGCATGCTGTTTAAGAGTTGAGGTGTTCTAATGCAACTAAAGATGATGTGATTTATGGAGTTCACACAAGGGAACTTAAGACGACTATAACATATAAGCATAGATCCAACAAAGCCACAAACCGAAAAAAAGAAAAACCTAGTTATCTAGCATGCGAAGCTGAAACCATACCTTGTCTAGTATCCTAATTCTAGGAAATATAAAACATCTCTCTCAAGGACATTATCAATATATTTCAATTACAAAAGATATAATCAAAAAGTAAAATAAATCAACTGGAGAAATAAATAATTTTTATTTTTTTGATCCTTCATAGATGCGATGCTTCCAACAAGAATGAACACATAGGCTTCCATTAGTTGCCCCTTCAAAAACTGCTTCATTGCTAGATTTATTGTTGACATCCTAGATATTTCACAAAGGCTTGATGTTGTTGTTGTTGTATCCTAGATATTTCACAAATGGTTTGCTAGGTTTTTACCTCTGCAGTCTCATGCCATTTATAATATCGCAACAAAAACAATTATGAATTATAACTTAGGCTTAATCTCCTTTTTGTGTCTTATGAAGCTTGTCATTTAAATTTTACTTGAAAAAACGAATGTTCTGCTAGAATAATCTTGATACATTTCATAGTAAGATGAGCTAATTTTATTACATGTGTTCTTAGTTGCAATTTCTCATGCTTTTTTCAATACAACTAAATTATTAGGCAATACAACTAAATTTAAAAATCAGATACAATTAAACTATTAGATAAACAATTTAGTTATATTATACTTGTGAATGTCTGATAGTTTAGTTGTATTTTCTACTAGTTTAGTTGCATGTCCTTTAAATTTAATCGTATTGTCTATTAGTTTAGTTGTATTGAGAGATAACATGGGACGCCTTAAATTTGTAACACATGCAGTAAAATTGTCCCATCCTAATGTTTAAGAATATCCTGACATGATTTTTTTCAGAAAACTATTGTTTATTTTGGATTATTTTGTACAAAGATTCTTAAGCTGTGTTTTGCTTTTTCAGATGTTCTTTCTTTACTAATTGAGATGAATGCTTGAAACCGTTTTATGCTATTTACAGCGTCAGCAATGTACAGAAGGTTGTTAGGGCTAGAAAAGGAAGCATGTTGCTCGCATTAGCAATGGTAAGGTTGTTCAAAATTAAATATCTTTTTGTTTTCATACTTGGAATTTTTCCTCTTACAATATGGTTTTGGATTCTCAGCTCTTTCCATTTATATTGCTGGTAGGTGGTGTACTTATTTGGTACGTATCTATTTAAGATAATTTCTTTTAATTATCTGTTATTGTGGGCTTTGTTATAAGATAGGAGTCACACCTTTATTCAGGTGTTACCTGTCTCCCTCTGACATTATGGGAAATTATCCGCACTTGCTGATCACTGGAACTGGCATGGCATTTGGATTCCTTGTGGTAAGATTGCACCTAGTTTTCTCCACTCGATTACATGCCTTCCCTTTCTTGCTTCCATTATTTGATAGCTTCATAATAAATAAGAGCTATTCATACCAATATATTTAATGGTTACTTTATTAGAAGCTTTTATTATTAAGTTCACAATCTGGACTAAATAATATTAAATAAGTATATTGATATCTGTTAACACTAGTAGTACTAGTCATCCTTTGTGTTGCAAGGGTCTAAATAACATAATTAAATTAAGTTGTACTATAAAGGCTCAAGATGAGTCAAAGTGCTTGAATTTTGATAAGATAAATTAAAATAGACATTAACAATCAATGGTGGAGCCAGAAATTTCTTATGGGGGAATAAAATTTTAAAACTTTTGCACCTTCATAATCCACTATTTAATTTAAGTCCTTAAGCTCCTCAGCTTAAGATTTTACCCTTACAACCTAGATGTGTAAACAACCTGAAAAATTTCAACTAAATCATTGATCAAGGATTAATTTACTTATTACATCAAAAAATAGCCCTACAACAACAATAACAACAACACCAACAACATGAAGCCTTAATCCCAGTACGTGGGGTCGGCATTGTTAGCTACATGAATCCTTTTTTTCCATTGTGTTCTATTAAGAGTCAAATTCTCAATTAAATCTAAAAAAGAAAGGTCATTTCTAATATTTCTAACCAAGTCTTTTTATGTCTACCTCTACCTTTTTTAACATAAATCGAATCTAGAATATCTACTCTCCTAACTGGGTCATTGGAAGGCTGTCGTTTTATGCGACCAAACTATTTAAAACAACTCTCTCTAATCTTATATTCCATGGGAGCTACTCCAACCTTTTCACGTATATATTTATTTTGTATCTTGTCTCTAAGAGTAAAACCATTCATCCACCTGAGGATCTTCATCTCTGCAACACTTAATATTATGCTTCTCTTTTAATGGCCAACATTTTGCACCATAAAGCATTACAAGTCTAACCACCATCTTATATATTAATGACTTTATCACCTAAAGTTACAAACCCTCAACTAGATCTATTACCACTAAAATTACACTCAATATATTCAATTCATTTAGACTCTAAGATTGACCTCCATAATTCAAGTTTACCTTCAATTCCCTCTTTGGTCTTATCAATAAGAAGTATATCATTAACAAAAAGCATACACCAGGGTATAATCTCTTGCAAATGTCTAGTGAGAATATCCATGACTAAAGCAAAAAGATATGAGCTTAAGGATGATCATTGATGTAATCCATCACAAATAGGAACATACTTAGTTAAACCAGCTTGTGTTTGAACACATGTAATAACACATGCATATATATCTCTAATGACTTCAATATAAGCATTATTAACTCCTTTCTTTTCTAGAACTTTCCATAACACTCTCTTGAAGCTTCATCATATGTTTTTTTTTTCTAAATCAATAAATATTGGATGAAGATCCTCCTTTTCTCTATATGCTTCTCTATCAGACCTCCCAATAAATGTATAGCTTCCATAGTAGACCTATCCGGCATGAATCCAAAATGATTTTGAGAAACATTAGTTTCACGTCATATCCTATGCTCCAGAACTCTCTCCCAAAGTTTTAAAGTATGACACATTAATTTAGTTCCTCTATAATTTGCGCAATCTTGTGCATGACCTAAATTCTTAAAAATAGGAATCAACACACTCATTCTTCACTCATCTAGCATCTTTTAAGTCTTCAAAATAATATTAAAAGTTTAGTAAGCTAAGAAATTCTTTCATCTCCTAAGTATTTTCACATCTCTATTAGAATATCATCAAGTCCAACAGTTTTTTCATGCTTCATTTTCTTTAAAGCCTCTATAACTTCGATTTTATTAATACAGTGATAAAAACAAAATTCTTTATTTTCATTTAAGATGTTAAGATCACTAAAGTCAATCATATTCTCATAATCTTCATTGAAAAGTTTAGCAAAATATCTCATCCACTTTGGTTGAATATTTTCTTCAAATAAAAGTATTTTTTATTTTCATCCTTAATGCATTTCACTTGCACTAAATCCTTACTACTCCAATCTCTTTGTTTGTCTAACTTATACATATGTCTTTCGCCTCCTTAGTATCTAATTTTTTATATAAATCATTAAAAGCTAAAATCTTTGCATCGCATATTGCTTTATTAGAGTTCTTACAAACCTCTTTATATATCTCCCAATTATTAGAGTTTTTTTATCTAAATCAATTTTTATAATAAATCTTCTTAAATTTTATCTTTTCTTGCACATTTTGATTCCATCACCAACTGTTTTTTCTATTAGGAGCTTTTCCCTTCAATACTTCAAGCACACCTTTTGCAAAATTCTTAATATCACTAACTACTTTTTCTCACTTAACATTAGCTTCCTCATACACATATAAAATCTTAAGATCTAGAATTTTGCTCTTAAAAATATTTTTGTTAATTTCTTTAAAAGCACCCATCTAACCCTAGAACAACATTTTACATCAAAAAATAGCCATATTCATGAAAAATATATTCAACCAGTTAAATATCACATTTTGATGGCGGCTAAAATTGATTCTCAAATAACAGGAGCAAACGAAAGAAAGATCATATCGATAAACCATCTTGAAATCAGACGAACGGAGGAAGATGAGATGGTGTAGGAGCTGGCGACGCACAACAATGGGGCATTTTTTCTCACAGACGGACAAACGGCTTGTTCTTTCTGGTATAAGAGGACGAGCGAATGATGGGAGGAGCGAATGAGGACAAGCAGATGATGGGAGGAGCGAATGGGCTCGAACGAGTCGAATCGGAAGTCACACAGATAGACAACGTTCTTCCTTTGCCTCCTTCCACAATGATGGGAGGTTGCTCACTGCGACGGTAACAAACTTTCTTCTCTTTGGCGTGTTTGTTCAGCGAAATCCCTTAAATTTTTCGATGCCTAAGAGCCCCTACCCCCTCAAAGGCTCATGCTTCCTATTTTTGGAGGGGGTGGGGGACACTTGCCCCCTTAGCCCTTCTTTCAATCCGCCCCTAACAACAACAACATCAAGTCTTTATACCAGTATGTGTGGTTGGCTACATGAATCCTTGTTCTCCATTGTATCCTATTAAGAGTCAAGTTCTTATTTAAATCTAATAAAAATTCATTTCTAATACTTTATAATAAAGTATTTTTAGTTTTTCTCTTCATTTCTTAACATAGACTGAATCTAATACATCTACTCTTCTAACCGGGTCATCAGATGACCGACACTTTATGTGGCCAAATCATTTAAGGCAGCTCTCTCTAGTATTATCTACCACTAGAGCTACCCCAACCTTTTCACGTATATCCTCATTTTACATTATGTCTCTAAGTGTAAGGCCACTCATCCACCTGACCATTCTCATGTTCATACGTTTAATTTTTTGGTTCCTTTTTTAATTGCCAATATTCTACAACATAAAGCATTGCAGTTGTCACCACCATCTTATAGGATTTTTCTTTAAGTTTGAAGGGTATTTTTCTATCACACAACATGCCTGATGCATTCCTCCACAGTTAAATTAAAATATACAACAACAACAATATCAAGCCTTTGTCCCACTATGTGGGGTCGGCTACATGAATCCTTTCTCTCATTGTGTTCTATTAAAAGTCAAATTCTCGTTTAAATCTAATAAAGAAAGATCATTTCTAATATTTTATAACAAAGTCTTTTTAGGTCTACCTCAACCGTTCTTAACATAAGTCAAATCTAATGATAAAGCCTAAGCATCCTCATCTCTGCAACATTTAGCTTAGTATTATGCTTCTCTTTTAATGGCCAACATTCGACATCATAAATCATTGCAGGTCTTATCATCTTCTTATAGAATTTTCCCTTAAGTTTGAGGGGGGCTTTTATATCACACAACAAGCCCGAAGCATTCCTCCACTTTAAGCATCCAACTTGAATTCTGCTGATAATATCCCCATCTACGTCACCATCACTCTGAACAATAGATCCAATATATCTAAAATGTGTACTCTTATTAATCACTTGATCGGCCAAAGTCACAATCCCCTCACTAGGTATATTACTACCAAGGTTTAAAATTGCGTAAATAAGCCTCGAGGTGTTTTTCGTCTGTGAGGCGAGGCGTAAGCCTCAAGGCAGTGTGAGACGTAAGCCTCATGGACGAAGAATTGCGTAAATGAGAATTTAAGGGTTTTAGCAGGTAAATAATAGTATGATTCTATCATACAATAAAAACATCTAAATGACAAGTGAAATTAGTGAAAATTAAGAAAATAGATGCAATAAAATCATGCAGAACAATCAAAGCATGCAGTCATGAGGAAGCATACTAACACTAACAACTATTGTTAAAGATAATGAATACAACAATATGCCGGGCTACTGGGGGTCCAAGTGGACACTGCCTCCTTGCGGGGGTTTCCGGGGGCAGCGCCCTCTGGAACAAATTTTATTTGTAAGAGTAATTTTGAAGTGCTGCTTATTTTTAAAATTCATAAGTCGTTTGTATGGAAAGATACCTAGTGGTACTGAGGATGTACCTAGCGGTACCGAGCATGTACCTAGTGGTACCGAACATGTACATAGCGGTACCGAGAATTATGACCCTAGCTTTCCTATAAGTTCAAAAATCAAAGCCTAAACTTAAAAAAAAACCTAAGAACACTTGAAGAAGTGATGTAGAGGGGCGGCCGGAAACAAAGGACTCACCGGCGAGAGGCGGCGAAAACATGCGGGAGAGCCGGATCGGGCGTCTACGAGCTTCCTGTGCTGCTTCTGTTGACGTCTTTCGTCAAGTAAGTGGGTATAAGGAAGAATTTAAGTGGTTTTTTAAGTAAGTGGGCCCCATATTAGAGGCGTACGCCTCAAAGAAAATTACGCAATAATACTAGTGAGGTGCACCTCGCTCTTCCTGAGGCGTACGCCCCATGATGCCTGAGAATTTCCTAGGCTTTAAGGCTATTTTGGAGCAAATTGCGCAAAGGCGCGCCTCGAATTGCGCAATTTTAAAATATGATTACTACTAAAATTATACTCCATATATTCAATTTTAGATCTACTCAAGCGAAAACCTTTAGACTCTAAGGTTGACCTCCATAATTCAAGTTTAGCTTCAACTTCCTCT